AGAACATCAAGGTATGGTTTCAATTTGTCGTACCACCCGCACGCACACAGCGCCAGGTACTTTGAAATGGACCTGCAAAACGTAATAAACCAAGATGAAGACGGCTGTCTTTTGGGATGTTGCGCAGTGTAACCTGGTAGAGAGTTTCAGGGTGAATGCTGATGATCGAGACAGTAATTACCTCTAAAATATACTTAAAACCCACCGACAACCTGGATCAACTTGTACACAAAATAAAACTGTCATTCTGAACCTATTCATTTGTAAGTCTCACATCCCTACGCTGCATCAGACACACATCATAAAAGAATTAGTACGATCAAGAAGACTCACCATATCCTGCTGACAATCCCCAGGGATATTAAAGCAATGTCCCACATGTGACCCAGGCGCAGTCTACACTTCATGTAGATTGCTGCATCCCGGCACGTCTGCATCACCTGGCAGAACAGACGAGCAAATCCCTGTGTTCGCACTAGCACCCACTCCAGCATCTGTCTGGATGGTGCACACATAGTCTGATACCCATTATCACAAGGAGATGGCTTGATTGCGTTGAAAACCGTAGCCAAGTCCATAGATAGGTAGCAAAGAAGTCCATGATTCACCTGGCAGAAAAATATTATATCATTACAAATTGTAACACAAACTGGGACCTTCCTAAAATCTACGGAGAAACCCACTTCACACACGAGCTCAACTTATAACACCGTCATTCAAAAACGCTGACCTAGTAGACAAGAAAAAACTTACTTTTCAAACATTATTTACATATATTTCAGCTTCAAAGTGGAGGTTCAAGTTCATCACCTGTATCATACGCAGAAACATACTGCCATCATTTATGCAAAAAGATGGTATCTAATTTGCAAGCCCACACAGCATAACTACTGAGAAGCCCGGCACTAATAATTTCTATTACTGTATATGGTATATGTGTCATAAATTCAAAGCAGACAAATGTTACATCAGCATCACGTGCAAGACATAAGGATGAACGGAGAACCTGCAGTGGAACAGTGTATGACGCACCTTTTTCATACATTTGAAGCCCTTGTCACAACGCAGTTTGGATTTTATCCGGTACAACAGCCGAGAGAGAGTTGCTGCTTCTGCATGAAGGGCTTCCTGGTCATTCAAAATGGAGATGGCGTCCAGACATACTGATGTAAATTTATCTGCATCTATAATCATTGTAAAAGATTTTTAAAAAAACTGCTGCAAATACTTTGCTCTTATAAACAACTTAAGGTATGTGAGGTTTTCATGGCAGTGAAGATGTCAAAATTAATATTCTGGGTTGTTACACCACAAGGACAGATTGAGACATTCCTTCACATTTTATCTCATTCAAGACTTAATAAAAATGTTCATTATACTTACCGATATCTGACAACCGTAATTCATAGGTTAGGTTTGGTGGCGAATGCAGATCTTTTATGTTCCAAACTGCAGCCATTGTAAACGTCCTTTATTGTATCAGAAATAATAGATTACTATGGGTAGTAACACTGCATTGATTCCTTTAGATAAAGAAATTAATATAAACATTCAATAATAAAGCTAATTATAAACACGCTGAACATATTTCTCTCACACATGTTCTCTTTCATTTGACCTGTTGACCAATCATTTTGTGTCGTTTATGGTATACGACGTAGACGATCTACCTAAGATTTGGTGTTTCGTAATTAATTTCCTCCTCTATCATTGTAATATATCAACGATCAGCTCGCCTAGTTTAATTGTAATTTATATTCCCAGCAAAAGCCCAGTTTATGGGTCCGTATTACGTCGTGAGCCTTAAAACAAGATTAAAAAATTGTAAGTATCCCGCGTTTTTACAAAAGTAATAAGCAAATGCTGAACGTAACTTTACTCATTTATATAATGCCTCATATATATTTGGATATACTGGATAATTAACAAGGCAAACGAACGATTAGAATGGAATCAAATCATTTCTTATTTACCCATATGGCAATTTATTATTTCGCTCTTCAGCAACGTCCCACTAACAGACAGGGTACCCTCCCCCTATGCAAGGTCACTTTATGCCCAAGGACAGGGTCTGGTACCCTTTCAATGTAGGGCTGATTTAATCCCAGCACAAACCTGAATCTGGTGATAAACAAGTAACCCAACAGTGGGATATAAAAAATATTGATGCGAGTCTAAAAACTTTAAAACTGGTTGGCCGAGAACAATATATTATCTGCAGAGGTTATGTAACATTGTTATGAATGGTTAACTTTAAAGGAATGACATTTTGTCTGGACAGTCTGTGGAAAAACTTGTCAGGATAGCCAGTAACAATTTGGACTTTGAAAAATGGAAAGTGAATTTGCTTGGAACTTGTAATTTTATTTGTTGATGATACTTAAATTTATTTAACTCCTTATCTTCCATAATTTATATTAAACATTTACTTATATACACAATATATAAATAATTTTTTTTTACATATACACATAACACAGAATTAAGGACTGCATTATTATACATTAGTATATCAACAGCACCAAAAGTTTCTATTTTCTTTTTTAACGAAGAATCCTCCAAAAATATTTTTTTTTAAAACTGTAGAGATACTATTTCTCAAAACTTCATACAAGTTGCTGACATAAAATATTTCTTATGCCAAAGTATTCCTCATTAAAAAAGGACATTTAATTTAGAACTCAAAAATAATATCCAGTAATATGGGGCATAAAGTAAATTTTGTGTCTTACAAAATAAAATGCCATCAGCTGCATGAAATTTATCTCTTACTTCCATACACATTCTGCATTTCCATCTCCATGGTTTGAAGGATTCTACAAATATTTCTATGGAACATCATTCACCCATTGACCGCAATATGAAGCGGAGCACGTGTTTACGGTGGTACAAGAGTCGAGCGTTATTTGTAAAGCTTCTTATTAAAAGTCTCTGGGATCAAAGTAGTATTTTTACATTTTACGAATAAAATCATACAATGAGATAGCAATTAATAACACTAACATGATGGTTCAGTAATTTGCATAAATTTTAAAGAATGAGATCTTATGGGAGGATTCTCCAAGAAAAAAGACAAATACATGGGACACCATGAACCAGGCCTGCTGTTATCAGAAAGCAACACAAAGTTAGTATAAGAAAGATTCATTGAGCTTCTTCTTTCATCAGGCTTCGTCTCAGCACCTTCGATTTCTGAAACAAACAAACAAGCATTTATTGCCAAATTATGGAACACTATGAACACAGAAACCATGAGATACTTGTTCTCAGTTTTTAATTACCTTTTTTAACTGCACCATGAGATCCTTGTTATCAGTTTTTAATTACCTTTTTTAACTGCATAGGTTTCTACAGAATAAAAATAGAATCAATCTCGACAGAAAAAACACTTGAACAGGGTATAAACAATTCAGAAGACAGCCATCTTTATTCTCGCTATTGTGAGAACCTAAAATGAATTAGAATTACTTACAAGACCACCTTCCCCTCTCTTTGATTTCTGAATATCTAACTTCTTCTGTTTTATTCTCTTTGCTTCTTGAGTCCTGAAAGCAGATAAAATTGTATGAAATTCGGTAGCAGTTTCATCACGTACAAAGCGTTTAAAAGGAAAGACGGTACACACCGAGTTCCTTTCAGATTTTAGTATCGTCACGGCAGCTACCTGTCCCGACTCACAAAATTCAATTTCGAGTGTTAATTATATATTTCATTTGCTGAATTTATAACCGTGGCCATCATGTTAGTCTTTCACAGACTTACTTTTCTTTAATCAGTCTTTGTTGCTCTTTCTTCCAGATGTCCTTAAAATCAGAACAAAATGGAGACCAGAGGGCAAAAAAATCCTTTGGATCAACGTCGTCTTCATTTGCGCCGCCCTTTGGCTGATAATGATAGAACTGCATTGTTGCTTTAAACCTGAAAGAAAGGAGTCCGTTGAACGCGCAACACTAGTTTTAAGTCGCTTTAGATCTAAAACATAACAAAGTTTGCAGAACAAATCAAATTTTGTTGTTTAAATTTGAAAACTGGACCAAATTGCTCGATGGAAAGAATTTTAAAAAAGAATCTGGAGATTTTCAACAAAAAGAGAGTAAGAGGACAAGGGACCTGTAATAATTTCAAGTCCTAAGAAAATATAAAGAATTATTTGTTTAAAACCTGCGTCATTAAATATTCTGATAAGTTTTAACAGCTAGCTTGAAATATTACTTTTAAAACATTCTACTTACTTCTGTTTACATTCTTCAAGGTTTTCTAACTCTCCGGCCAATTGCTTTTTTGCTGAAAACGTAAAACGTCCGATAAGTTCCAGTGTATTAACACTGACTGCACACATACAGCGTTACAGCATGCCATGAGACTTTGAGGTTATGTTTGGTACCTCCTACTTATAATTAAGAACACACGTCACCAGATATCGAATTCCTTTTAACCAACCTAACCTCAATGTTTATAAAACACAAGTTAATTTTCCATGACATTAAACTGAACCAGGCCAATTCAATTTATACCCTAAAAAAACAAATTTCCCTCAAATACATTTTAATTTTATTCTCCCACCTCCTTTCTGGAAGACAACTTTCAGGTGTTTCCTTACCAAACGCAGAATGATTCATCCAATCACATTGTATTTGATTACATAAACCTTGCCAGCTGATACAGGTCAAAAAGATATCAAATGACCAATTTACCTGAGCCTAAAAACTTTTCCATTTTGCCCTTAAATGGTTGAATATTATCTTCTGTTGATGCAGCCAACACTTTTCCTGTTTTGGTTTCACAGACTGGAAGAGAAGAGTTTTCAGATTGGATAAACACGTCACGGTTTCCATTACCTAAAACAACTTAAAACTAATCTCTGAAAATTAAAAGCATCCATTGACTCGCCATTGAAATGATCTCAGAACAAATAATAGTAGGTCCTCTTTCTGTTTACAAACTGTTCCTTTACGTAATTTTCATGACTGTCACAAGATAAAATCAGATTTCATACCACCAAGTTCTTTCTGGAGTTTCTGAAGGTCCCCACTGACATCATCAAAGTGAACCGTCAAGGCGCGATCGATGTCTCCCGGTTCCGGAACTGGCAATGCCAATCCGGGGCTAAGCGGATCCTCACACTTCTGCTTGAAATAAAATAACATGTGCAACCATTTTAGTAAAATCTGGAAGTTTCAACCTCATAATAACTAACGAGCTCCGATCCTTACAACCTACTTCCGTAAAGGATACATTTTATCTTCCTAACTTCTTCTTGGTGTTTAGAAATGGCTGCTCTTCAAGATATTTCCCCACCAAAACTTGATATGCATTTTTTGACTCTTCAATTTGAGGTTATGTGGGTAACTGAAGTGAATGTGAAAGTGTTAATGAGGCAACCAGCAGAGTAGTGAATACATATGCAAAATACTAATAATAAAATATATGAAAGAATATAAACTGATGACGAGCGACTGTACCTTCATGTACGCACGGACGATGAAATGCAGCAACGTCACACTGCTGTCCTTGCTTTTCACGTCTCGCAACCTCGCGAGAATCTCTAGTCCGAATCCATCAGCCTGTCCCCTTGTCCTATTACCACCATTCATGTAGTTTCCTAATGTTAGGATAATCGCCAGAACCGTCTTCAAACTCTTGGATGTAATCAGAAACTGTGAGGACAGTAATAAATTAACACGTTAAGTTTCATAAACCTAATCAAAGCATCATCATCATGGAATTCACAGGTTCAACATTCATGCCCAGTACTACACAATTCATGCTCCGGTCGTGTTCCAAAGAAAAAGTCGTAGTGGGTGAAATAGCATAAATTTAAAAAATAAAATCCCTTCTCCCCTTGAACTCCACAAATGATAGTCACTGCCTGTGTTGAAACATCAGGTTCCGCAGGCAGAGACGTTAGCGGCGGACAGATGCGTCACCTGGCAAGTCGATTTCAGGTTGTTTAGCTTGCTCTCGATGGAGGAGATCCCGTCCTCAAACTCCGACTGAAACATGAAGCAGGCTATGCGATCCGCGAAGTTAGGAATCTCCGCAAGCTCGTGCAGAAATTGCTCCGGTTTGTCTAGCGGGATTTCCGGCTTGCTTGACGCGTGTTCGCGTATCATACACAGCTCCTCTTCTGTAGCCCTCTGTAAAAAACAATGGCGGCTTACCGAGATCAGTGATTCTCAAAATACAATCGCCGATACTTTTAACTTTAAGCAAATTCGGAGTAGCAGAAAAAAATTCTTATATATCCAGAGTAAGCGAGTTAGATGAGTTTACATTACAACCTGTATTTTATGTTAGTATAATAAATATTACAACTATCTCCTTCATTTGAAACAGGCAATCGCTATTGACAACTGCTATGTGCGTAATGGAGTGTTAAATAGTTCTATGAATTTAAAATGTATGGAAACACTTACAACTTCATAAATTTGTTGTAGAGCCTCGAGATTCACTACCGACGTATCAAAGTTGTAAATTGCTGGAAGCAAAATTAGAAGTAAAGATTATTATTATTATTTTTGTGCCTAAATTAAGAAATTATTTGACGTTTCCACTTCAATGTACAAAGTTTCCTTTTCAGCATCTGAAATGTATTCAGTGCTTACAAAATTTCTTGTTATTATGGAATTCAGATATTTATGACTGTCATCCCACATGACACTTAAATTCAGTCCGTATCCCCAAAAACCTATCTAATTAAGATAAATTTTAATATTATCATGATTGTTTTTATAGTGGGTTCTTTCAGAAAAGTTTCATCTTATTTTACTGCAATTAAGAGAAAATTATAAAAATGTTTATCACTATTATCATACACTAACTACTGGACCCTGTTCTGTCAATTAAATTTCAAATTTCCATACTTAATTTCTCAAAGACACGTTTTCGATTTATGGTTCATTCTCAAAAGCAGTATTTTCTCTTAGAAATCTTCTGTGAAGAAATATTTACCATTTTCAATTTCAGAGAAGTCCACATGAAGGCTCGAAGCAAGGATTCCCACATTTTGAGACCGCTTGCTGTCTAGAATCTTCATGGCCTGCACCTTGGACGGCTTCTCCTCCTTCTTTTTCGTTGGTTTGCGCTCCACCACTTGTCGAGAGAAGAGGTCAGAGAATTCCTTTATGTCATCTATATCAGCCTCTTCCAGTTTGTCCCACAGGAGCCCACTTCCAGCAGCAGGCACACCTGGAGCTGGAGCTGGAGCTGGAGCTGGACTGGATAAGAATGGTACAAAATATTAAAAGTTAATTTCTCATGTTTGATCTCGGTACCGCGCAACTAGAAATATGGAGTGTACACAGCACTTTCTCCTATTTGACGTTTGCCACATGCTGACACCTTGTGAGACGTCTGACGACGACGATATTCAACGTATTTATTGATGCTTAGGTTTTAAATGGCAGTTGCAGAATTTGTAACAAAAAATTAGATTTAAAGAAGATCACAGAAATTATCATGGCCTATTTCAAGGTACAGTTAATTTGAGAGACTGAGCGTAAAAATTTAAACAGTAGTAAGGACAAATAGTAAGATTTTTAAGTGGATGCCTCGTAAATAAAACACGCCAAACATCTGGTTATTTGAAATGTAATTATTTTACTTATGGGAGTACAAAGCGTCAGAGTCGAGCCACACACCTGTTTCCTAGAGGAGGTGGTTGTCCTGTTGGGGGCACGATGATCCTGGTCCAATACAGCGGCTTCATCGGAATGATAGGGTTCACGGGCTGCTTCCTCAACACTGCAATAACAACGTGCAGCGTGTTGCACCACACAAATGAGAACAAGACCAACATTTAATCCGTGTTCACGAATGTTGCGCGTTCATAATACAACGTGGTGAGACTTTCAGGTTCCCATGACAGCGAGTACGAAGACGACTGTCTTCTGGGTGTTTCGCTGCGTGTTCCTGTAGAAGTTTACTGACATTTCAAGAGGTGCTTGCTGCCTTCATCATCAGGGCAATGATAGTGCTGATGATGGACGTAGCAAGCACGACTGGAACGCTGATAAACTACC